TGTTGCCATTGGATTCCTTTCTTAATTTCTGCTAACATACTGCTGTTTATCTATTGTCAGCTTACAGCTATAACTTGAAATTCCAGATCTACTGAGGTGCTATCCCACTGCTACTGTCCAATACTTATAAAACTGATACATTTCTCTACAGGTGAAGTATCTTAATTTTTTTTTTTATGACAGTATCTCAGATTTATCAGGTATTTCTCATTATATATACTGTCCCACATCGTCCTAGCATTTATTTGCCTATTGGTACCCATGGCACTTCTATACATGCCCTGTAGATTATAATTTAGATTATAAATAAAATTATACCTGGCCTAGGACTGACCCTTGCAAAACTCTGACAAAGCATTTTAATTTCCTAGCTGATGATCATAAACATTTGAATATAATTTTCTACCCTGTGTGGGGTTTGATTTGATTCTTTTTTTATGCTAACCAAGCTTCCTAATTATTTGTTTCACTACTAATATTTTTCTAAAATTAAATTAAATGAAACATGGATAAAATCTGCAAAGAATCTCATTCAGCTCTAGAGGAACATTCCATCCTCTGCTGAAACTCTTTCTAAAGTTACATTTGAAGCAAACCACTTAAAAATTGTTTTAATTACTTCCCTTATGTATTATAAACCAATGTCTATTTTTATTGTAAATTCTTGGTTTCATTCACATCTCCCTCGAATTTGGCTGAGCTGGTAATTAGTACAACTCAATATTATTGAGGTTTCCTTCCCCAGGGTGTGCTGTGCCTGTAAACTTGATCAATGTACAAATCTGTAACCCCAAATGCCTTATCTTGTGCTTAGTTGTTTCCCATATTGTTCAGATACTTTAAGAGTAACAGAGTAGCTGCATGTAGTGAGTGCAGAGCTTAGTGTTATTTTTATTATTAAATTTGATTGTGGTTTTATTTTTATTATTAATATTGGGAGTGATTACCTGAATGGCTGCAAAACCACTCTTCATCAGACGAGAGTATGCTTCTATTAAAAAAAACCAAACAAATAAACAAAAAACACCACTATGTCTTCACCATTATAACAATAGTAATTATAATTAAATGAGTGTATTTTCATCTAAATTGGCTAATCAGGACAAACTGATTTTTCCTGCAAACTAAATGTCTACTCTGCCTATCTAATATCTAACCCATTCCTGTTCCATGTGGAGCTTGTCTGGATAAAAAAAAACAAACTATACAGATTTAGGAGTAACTTCTTATGTCATATGTGAACTACTTTTGTTTTTAAGATCCTTGCACTGGAAAATGCACTGCCATTTTGTAGGATCTTCGGTAATCTGTTCTAGCACCTATACTGTTAGGCAAGACATGTTGCATGGAAATGAGGTTCTTTTTTGGAGGGGAAGTAAGGATGTGCATTTTAACAAGACATAATATATTGGTTTGAAGTCCTGAGTAGGAGCCTGCATATGGGCAGGGTGCTTTGGAAGGGAAAACAGGAGAACTTTCAATCTGCTTTTTGATGAAAATTTATTGTAAAATTTAAATATTTCCCTCTTCACTAGGAAACTGCAAACAATTTCTATTACTAGCTAACTCTCAAAACTTTTATTTTTTATTTTTTTTTTCTTTTCCCCAATGAATGTTGCTTGGCAGTAAGAAAAGCTCTCTGTCAGGTTGAGAAACAATTCAATTCTCTACCTCTGAATTGCTAACTTCTGTGCTGGGAGGCTTGCTTAATTTTGCCTTTTTCTCTTATCTGTAAAACATCCAGGGCAATATCAATGTTATTTGTAATGTAAATAGTGAACGGTCTCTCTAAAAATGGAGAATTGTTATTTTGGCCCAAGATTTAACAGCTATTTCCAGCCATAAAACCAGAGAAATTATTCAGAGCTTCTGACAAGCTTATTGTATTAAATTAACTGAAAATGTTATTGCTGGGGCCAGGAGGGAAAATGACCTCAGAAAAGCCTCCCTTTTCACACCTCTTCATCTCTCTAACCTGCCTCTTTAAAACAAGAGATTGCCTTTGGCAGACATGGTTGATAAAACCAGGACAATTATCATTACTCAGTAGGCCAGGAATGATAGAATGCTCTGTGCAGAATGGGGCCAGTCTGATGGTTGAGGAGTAGGTGTGATAAAGGATGCTGACACACAATGTCAGAGGCCAGCTGCCAAGCCTTCATTGTCTCAGATTATTAGGGAAAAGCAAAGACCTGCAGAAGTGCAGCTTCAAATAGTCAGGACCTGAAGTAGGAGTTATTTAAAAGACATGCGGGTTTACAGGGAAACATCTGGAACTAAAAGTGGGAGAAGTCCTAAGTTCTGCTCCTTGGAATCTTCACATTGGTACCCTGTTCATCCACTTCCCTTACAAAATCAGAGACGACCTTGCTCCTATATAACTTGTCACAGAGGAGGGACACCAAGCCCTCTGTGCTGTAGATGGGAGGTAAAGTTCCTGCTGCTACTTAGGGAGCAAGATCAGAGGTTCTTCTCCCAATTTTTTTTAACTCCTGATGGACTGAGAAGAGATTTAGAAAGAACGAGTTGGAAGAGAAACTTTCCCAAATGTGCGGATGTGAGGGATGGGGCTGGTGAAGGAGACCCAACCCTCGGGTTACAGCTGCACTCTTGCACCAACAGTTACTGTCCACTGCAATTGCTCCAGCTTCATTATCAGTTTCAGGTGTAATAAACCAGAATCATAGAGAGCAAACCCTAAATCGTTAAAGCCACAGAGATTAGAGACATTACATTAAACAGATCCAGAGAGATGACAGATCTTCTCAGCTCTGTCTTTTGTACTGCTTATAGTCTGATTCTGTTTTGTTGACATCTCCATGCACTTAACCTGGAAAATAAATATCACAGAATCATAGAACTATTCAGGCTGGAAAAGACCCTTGGGATCACGGAGTTCAACCATCATCCCTACTCTACAAAGTTCTCCCCTAAACCATATTAAAAAAACCAAACCAAAACACCAAAAACTAACAACAAAAAGACAAACAAACAAAAAACATATCCAAAACGTATAATGCCCTCATCTTGCTAGAAGGAACTACATTTTTACCTCTCAGAAACACAGCCCAACTGTTCATTTGGGTTACCAGCCTGAGCTTTCTACCTCTATGGTTACTGCAAATTTGGTCTCGTAGCTTGTGTGGGAATGCTGTCACATTCTCAAGAAGGGAGGCAGGTTTCACTGCCCACCTTAGTAAACCCTTCGGTCTGGTTTTTACTATTGGGTACTGAAGAGCCTAATTTTTCCCTTCCTCTGCTTTTCCCATCCTCTCCTTCAAAGTAATTCTTAGCTGGCCTACATGCAGACAAAACAAAATAGAAATAAAAGACAATATGAAAGCGTGCCAGTTCATTGTTTTCCCTTTTGTTATTATGATGAATCTAGTTTATCCTTGGCATCTAAATCTACCTCAAATAAAAATATTTTTAATCAAGTATAGCTTGTGTCTTCGAAAGTTAATGCATGAAAATAAATGCCAGAAAATAAAAGTCTACTAGAATTTCGGATTCATCCGTGCTAGAAGAGACAGCCCTTTACTGAAACAGCCCAGTTTTAGCCATGTACGATGGGACAAAATTCTAGGTTTGGGCTTAAGTTGTTCTTTTCAACCAAGGAAAAAAAAATCTGGCTTCTTTTTAAGTAGAATACAAGTGAGGCTTCTGATTTAATAATAATAATAAAAACTAAAAGCCAGAACTACTTCATAGCAGTCCTTAAAAAATTAATTAATTTCTGTTTTCCCTTTGTGAGAATTAAGTTGGATCATAATGATAAAAGCTGATTCTGATATATGAGGATTAGCTGAGAATTATTTTAATATTCTGAGGATTTCAATGAAAACCTAAATTGGCAAGTGTGTTCCTTTTCCTTTAAAGAAGAAGGTGGCAGGTTTTATGATACCTACCTATTAAAAAAAAAAAACACAAAAAACAAAAAACCACCCAGCAATTTGTGTATCCAAATATTTATAAGTAACATTGAGGATGAGGCATGTCGTTCATGCAGGCCAGATTTCCATATAGCTTCATTTATTTCAGGAGAATGGAGGCTTCATTTGACTCCATTCATGTTTAAGTAGCATCAGTGCATACTAGTGTAGCTAAACATGTTGGATAATTTTCCTGTACAAGTCCACTTTTAACTTCTGTCAGTCTTAAAGTATAATAGTATACACTACTGAAACTGAGAAAGCATTAAAATGTAAGATTATCTGGATTTTATATGCATTAACCAGGAATTGACAGCTGCATTTTATAAACTGAAACTATTTGTAAAAATATCAAAATCTTGCTGTTCACTTACAGAACATCACAAAAAATACAGAGCCCTGACAAGATCCAAACACTTTTCAACAGTGTTTATATCCCTCTTGAGGTCTCTTATTTTCACAAAACACAAAATTCTGTAAAAATACAGTATCCTTAATAGTTAAAGATATGGTTAAGGGAGCCGAATCTTTATCCATATTCAGAGCTCAGCCACGAAATTGTGTTACTTCCTTCTCTTTGAAATCGATTTACGACAAAAATATAGACGTTTTCCCCTCGGTTCCTATCCTAATCTAGAGAAAACCCCTTAAAGATTGAGTCTGCATTAGTAGGAAGACTTTTTATCGACGGGTTTTATTTTAATTTAGAAGGAAAAACAAAAGTTTGCCGTTCCCGGGGTCTCTCTGGCTTCACAACGCGGGGTTAAACACATCTTTTCTCTCTCATCTGGGGTCCTGACGGCAAGAAACTCCCCCGAACGAAAGTCCACAGTCTTCCCTTCACTCCACTGAAAAACAGGGGTGATTTAGAGGCCCGCATTTTACAAAAAATATGAATTTATAACTCGAAAGAAACACAGACTCGGAGGACGAAAAGCTCTTCCTGGCTAACAGTTAGGCGGGCTCTGCAAAGCACCAATCACAGATCACCGCTTCGCTATAAATTCAGGCATCGGGGTTACTGTAGCCCAATTACTTTCTTTTGATTAGGAAGAAGCCTCTGCTGCGATGTCCGAGACTGCTCCCGCCGCCGCTCCCGCTGTCGCGGCTCCCGCTGACAAAGCAGCCGCCCAGACGGCCACGCATCAAGTTGGGGCTGAAGAGCCTCGTCAGCAAGGGCACCCTGGTGCAGACCAAGGGCACCGGCGCCTCCGGGTCTTTCCGTCTGAGCAAGAAGCCTGGGGAGGTGAAGGAAAAAGCCCCCAAGAAGCGGGCAGCCGCGGCCAAGCCGAAGAAGCCGGCGGCCAAGAAGCCCGCCAGCGCTGCTAAGAAGCCCAAGAAGGCGGCGGCGGTGAAGAAGAGCCCCAAGAAAGCCAAGAAGCCGGCAGCTGCCGCGGCCAAGAAAGCCACCAAGAGTCCCAAAAAGGCGACTAAGGCGGCCAAGCCCAAAAAGGCAGCGGCAGCCGCGAAGAGCCCGGCCAGGGCGAAGGCGGTGAAGCCCAAAGCAGCCAAGCCCAAGGCAGGGAAGCCCAAAGCGGCCAAGGCGAAGAAGGCGGCGCCCAAGAAGTGAAGTGTTGAAAGTGGAAATGCTTAAACCAAACGGCTCTTTTAAGAGCCACCCACTGCTGTCCGGAAAAGGGCTGATACACTCCCTCACCGAGCTCCGTGCCTGCAGCAGAGCAAACCACACGCCACTACCTGTGTGGGAAGTTAGTCTGTGAGGTGGATGGAACGCTAAATTCCGGCCGTGGTTAAAGCTAAGACTTGGAAAAATAAAGTTTACATTCCCTGGGGAAATGCTTTATAAAGGCTGACTTGTTTGTGCACCGTAAGGAGGTGTATGTGTTTAAAGGGCCTGCTGGGAGGGGGGGGCGGGGCGGAGGGGTTCTTCGGCGCTTTAACCAGCGCGGTTCCTAACAGCCCGGATGCGAGTGCCACACCTCTTAGTGACCGTAGCTGGGAACTGTCAGCCCGGCTCCTCCGCTTCCTTGGCAACGACGTTTCCTCCTGGCAGCGCTGTCGTGGGGCAGGACTCGGTTTCTGCCTGACTTCCCCGACCGGCTTTTTTGAGAAGGAGGTTTCCGGGGAGGGAGGCGGGTCAGAGAGACCGGCGGCCCCTTTCCGCACCCTGCCGGCCCG